TCGATAGCTAGACAGACAGATAGATCGATTTGATTTGAGATGAAGACTGATAGACTATATATATATATATATATATATATATATATATATATATATATATAGGCAGTCTGGAATAGATATATAGGTAGATAAATAGATATATCGATAGCTAGACAGACAGATAGATCGATAGATAGATAGATCGATAGCTAGACAGACAGATAGATCGATTTGATTTGAGATGAAGACTGATAGACTATATATATATATATATATATATATATATATATATATATATATATATATATAGGCAGTCTGGAATAGATATATAGGTAGATAAATAGATATATCGATAGCTAGCTAGACAGGTTCTTGAACATAAGGCTAGCAAGCGCTATCAGGTCAAAATCAGGTAATTATACATAGGTTAAACAATATATGTAATGAAGCTCTGAATATGGGCTCAGAATTGCACAAGGAATCCGATCGATACATTCGTGAGATCAATACCCCGGAGGGGCGTACTCTGAGGTCGACTAAGGGCATGTGTGGCATTTCGAGAGCCGGTTTACCAAGGAGCCTTGGAGTGTGGTTCGGGCTCTAGCCGAAGAAGAATAGGTCCGAAGTACAGTCAGAGGACGACGGCGGTTGTCCGTAGAGCGTGGAGCTGAGGCGTGTGCCAATTTTGTCTTTCTTCTTATCGGTTATCGATTGACTGTACTTCCTCTCTGCAGGGACCGAAAGAAGGCGCTTGTGGGCTTGTTGCCTATCCCCTTGATCGGTGGCCGCAAGCGTGAAGTTTTCAGGGAGGCCGTTGCCCAATGTTCGTATCATGGAAGGCTTGGAATGCCGCACTTATTGTGCCATCGGCACGCCTCAAAGTTGGCTATCCTACTCCGAGCGTTGACAGAGGACGCGATTTTGGAGGCGAGTGTCAGGGACGCCTTCCCTAGCCTTACCACCACTCCTCCTATTTCGGGTATGAGCGTCGTCGTAAACCTCGGAATCAATCAATTCTGAGAGTGTCGGGCGACCTTGAAGGTCATTTCTCTGTCCAGTGACCTTTCACTATCCCGTAGACTATTGTATCGTGAATTAGTGGTCGGGGTCACGAAGGATCCTCTACAAGGCCGGCTCAGCTTTATCAGAGTTGAGCCTTTTCTGGTCTTAGCCATCGGTGGCTGATTATCTCAGTAACCCTGAATTTTTGCTTACCTGGCGATTCATTCGGAACGTGCTATCTCTGAATGATGTAGACTTCAGAGGATGCTGGATGGATGTAATCGGTGTGGCCTTCTACCATTGTCCTCATGAGCGCCTGTTCTGGAACTATGTCGGCGACTTGACGGCTCGTATTGCTCCGGATCAGTTTGCATCCATTGATCTCGCGTACGCTTATGAAAATGTGTCGTCCCCGTTCTCAAAACGGGTGGTGTTTCTCACGTTGCTAGCTACGGCGAGAAGGGCGGTGTGGACGTGGGGAATGAATGAAATCTTGTGATACGAACGTTATTCGCATCAGGATCTGGTCAGATTCTTTGGGTATCAACTCAAGATGGAGATCAGAACTGATAGAAAGCGTTTGTTATCGCGAGATTCCAGCGAAAGGTGGGTAACTATGGCGAGCCTAGTTCGCTTGTACAGGGCCAGCCTTGATTTATTTTTTAAGTCCCCTTTGTTGTAACGGGGAGGAGTCATGTGAACCCTCCCTTAGTTAAGCTAGACACCATTTGTTTAAGTAATTAATGTAAGTGTTGTTCCAGGCCTGATCCCATCTTCGCTTTTGTTATGATCCATGTTGAGATTCCCAACATCGTCATTTTGCTTTTGTCACTTTTTTTCTCTCGACTGGGTCAGCCATTGTTTTTTCCACTCCATCATTTACTTTTTCCTTCTCACTACATTAATGAGTAAGCTTCTTGATTCTGCCGAATGGCAGAAAACAATGGCCGCTCAAGAGCGGACGAGACCTAAGAAGATCTCTTATTATTTTTCTACTTTGTCTTAGGGTTCATACCCTACCACCCATTTCATGATTCATGGGATTTATATATATTTTTGTAGAAAAAAGAAAATAAAAAGATACCGAACATTTATACATAGAGAAATTTTTACATCATGGGTTTTTTTTGTAGGTTCTCTGTGAATATGTGGTATTGTGATACGTGTAGGATTGAATGGTGGCAGATGAAAGTTTATGGTGAATGAATAAATTGTAATGAATGAGTAGGTTGTTAGTCTGATTAACTAGGTCTAGGATAGTTACTGATCGCCAGACTTAACTTACTTCCCCTTCTGCCTTGTGCCACAATTACTGTATAAAATCTGTAATAAATAATCATTCTTAAGCAGGCTGAAATCATTTCATGTAAAAAAAAGGTTGTACGCACAATAGGTAAAAAGAAAGCTTGCGAATATAACTTATATTCACGGACTTAACTGTTAGAAGAGTGGCCTCGTGGCTTCTGTATTCTATTAACGTCTGAAAGAGGATCCTGATTGGACAGTAGTTAGCCAATCA